TTGCTAGGCGGGTAATCAGGCTCGGGAATTGGAGGGAGTTGTGTGAGATGAGCGGGTGGGAATTATGATGGTGGCTATTGAAGGAATCCTCATCATCGGATACTTCGGCCTCTGATGATTCCTTTAGATTCGTTTCTGGTGATTTCGAATCATGTTCGTTTTCTTCGGAGGTTCGCGTGAACACGCCGATCACTTTTTGACATTCAGTTTCGTTAACTAATTCTACATTGTTTTTCAGAGAAAAGCTTTATTAGGTTTTGAGTTTGAACGTTTGTTAAACTAGAAATAGCATCAGCATTATAGCTTGCTTGATTTATCTATTCCTACTTCTTGAACAATGTATAAATATTTCTAGCCTTTTGAGTTTCTTAGGCAAATACTCTCACTTGATGCCAGAAAGGAATGTTTTAAACTGCCTTACTCGCCATTTGATCATTAAGTGCGTTTTTTAAGCTAATATCTTTTCGAATTCCTCAACAACGTAACAGTTCTTTCTTTAGCCTTGTCAAGTAAATGGGCCAATGTGATGCAGAATCCAGAGTTGGCGAAGCAGAATGCTTTGCACCTGAATCATCTCCATCTAGCATATTTTCAAGAATTTGTTTATCAGAATGAAATTCGAAAGTTAGTAAATGTAAATAACTCACATATTGATTATAGGGAATTTTTACTTCAGACTTTGTGTTTGATTAATAGGTTCTGAAACGTTCTGATAGATTTGGGTGTAAAATTCTTTTGTATTGGTTTTTGATCTCGGGAAATAGATGCTTCATTATTTCGTAATAGCTTTTTCTCTCTCTCATTTCATATAATCTAACAGCGTATAACGTAATGGCTAAATCGAGCTAAATTCGTTAAAATGTTAAAGCGGGTAATAATAGTAACGGTAATTAATTATAATCTTTGGAAAGGATCGGCTTGAAAACCAACTTCCGTCGATTGCGTGAAAAAAAAAAAACTATTTCGTTCATGATATGGCGCCACAACAAGAACTCTCAAGCTCTTCCACGGTCTCTTCGACATCCTCCGCTACCTCTCCCCCAACGCAACCATCACCTGGACTAAAACCATGCTGCGCATGTCCCGATACGAAGAGAGCAAGAGATGAATGCATATTCCATGAAGGCGAGGAGAATTGTAAAGATCTTATTGAGGCACACAAAGCATGTATGAGGAATTTAGGATTTAAGATATGACATTGATGGTTCCTAGCGCCAAGTAATGAGAATTCAAGTGAAATTGCACAAGTTGGGTTTCATAACGGAGAAGTTTCAGGGAACTTATATTTAAAGGAACGCAGCTGATGTGGATTGAACTTATTTGTGATTGTTATTCACGAATCAGCAAATACACCATTACTCAGAGCATGTTAATGTCATTTATTATGTGGGCTAAATATAATTTCTTTCACATTAGCATATTATCACAATTAATACCTTTTACCTGAAAAGTGTTTTCTACTGTTCGTACATGACATTAAAAAGCCTTACGGAATGATCCGTAGCACAACTTGCTATCTGTAATGTGCCCACATCGTTATTTTGTGGTTTCCGCCACACGAGTCGAGTGACGGTTGAAATATGAGATAAACTAAAGAAGAGAATGAGTAAGCAGTGTTCTACGGGCAATTTACTTCAATTATCTTGAACTTACTACTTCTCTATTGCATGCAAATATGTCCATTTAGCCGCATCTGATAACTTCGATTGATACAAGAGGATATCACCATTCTCCAGTCCGATTGCCAAGATATAACTGAATATGAACAAACGACTCGAGTTAGACAAAAGAAGCAATAGGAATAACATATCATTCAATTAAAGTAATAATCTTGTTCATATCAAAACTCTTAATCCAATTGCTCACCATCCATGAGTAAGGCATCCAGCAAAATCCAAAGCAGTTACTGCCTCGGCAAATTTCAAAGTTGTCACCTGCGACCACGAGCTAGAATCTTTGTTTTCGACTTGACGCCAGATTTTCACCTATTAAGTGAAGAAAATTAGGAGATGATGATTCAATACGTAAGATATCTGCCTACTCACGCTCTTGTCTCGGGATCCAGTAGCAAACAATAGGTCATCATGACTCCATGAACAATCCCATATTATCCGCGCGTGTGCTTTGTTCTTTGTAACCAATTTGTATGGAGGAACTATTGAACAATCGATAACACTTATTGTAGTGTTACGGACAGCGGACAGCGGTAAACGTCATTATGTGTCGCATAACTACCTGCTTCACATCTCTCAAACAATGACCACATTCTATCACGGGATACCGTTAACAAGTATCTATCGTTATGTGAAAATTGTATTTGTGTTACGGTTAGAGAGTGAGCTTGTAATGGGTTGGGAATTTCTTTCCACGTTGCGGTGTCAAAAAGTCGTATTACAGCGTGTTCTGGCGTTGTTGCCTTCGATAGGAAGAAGATGACGATCGGTTTAGTACAAAGTTGATGAATGCAAATTTTTGTTAGGATCTGTTTTACTAACTCACCTTACAAGAAGAAGCAATAATCTTTCCGCAATGGCTGCTAGCAACACTAATCAACTCATAACCATGTCCATATCTACGTTCATGTACAAACAGTTAATAATATACATAGTTATTTACCACAATGACTTTTCACACCAGCAAAACATCGTTCGACAGCATTCACTCACAGCTTATAAATTTCAGGCCAAAGCGTATGCTGCAGCAGATGCTCCTCGAATGGTGGTCGTTCCATAGCCTCGGTCAAAGAACTGGGCGTCGCGGAAGGATGTGCGTAGCTCTGTCCATTGAGAAATTCTTCGTTTTCCCCCAACTTCGCAATGTCTGATTCGAAGACTGCCTTATTGGACAGGCCCAATGCTGGGAGATTTGCTCCTATAGGGCGAGATGACTGCACGAGAAAGTGAGACGGATCAGTAAAGATAATTAAAAGTAGCAATGTCATGGAATACCCACCGCATCCTTACTTGTACTGAGTGAATTTGTGAGTTTGGATAGAGATTCCACAAAAGTCTTTGGTGCACTGAATACGCGAATAACCTAAAAACATTAAATTTCGATTAGTCAAAACTCATGTGCCGCGTATAATTTATCTCCATATTGTTTGCTGTCCTTACCTTCTCGTCAGATCCGCTGACATATTTCCACTCGTCTACAAAACTGATACACTGAATATCGTAGCCATGAATTTGTGGTCTGGCGATCTCATGCCAAGTCATTAGCTGCTTGCCCTCGTCCGTGTTCCGTCGCCAGGGTGCATATAGTCTTGCTGTCTGATCAAGGCTGGTTTAAAAGTGTTAGTACAGTGATAAAGTAATAGGGGCAGAAAGGGAGCTTTGCATGAATACCTGACGGAAACAAGAAATCGACACAGAGGATCCCAAGTAATACTCTGAACAGCTTTGAAGTGACCACTTATTGATATCTGCGGTCGCCAATGTTGATTATCTTGTGAATAAAATCGTTGGGATACAAATAAAATATATAAACGACTCTTAGCAAATGTATTAAATATGTAAATTTGCAATATCCTGTATCATATTCAATCAACCTTCATTCTCAGTAATCATCTTCCATAAATGGAAAGCTCCTGTATGTCCGTGTGCTAAAATATGCTTTCCATCGGGTGCAAATAATCCGCCATAGAGTCCAAGGGCATAACCACCAATTTCCCCAACTCGAACCTAATTACATTTCATCTTATGCTTTCAGCGTTCAAATCAATTGGCAATGGGATATGGCACGAGATATATGGGATCATACCGAATTAACCCATATTCCGGTGTCAGGTTCTGGTTTCCAGATCATCATAGATTTGTCTGATGAAGAGGTTAGCAGGCAGAGTGGTTGATGGTAGACTAAGTTATTGGTCGCGTCTTATTGAAAAGAGGTTAACGTACTTTAGAAAGAGTTATTGGTCTGGTTATGAAATCAAAGTGAGAACGATTAAGTACCTTTTACGAAGCACGCAGGTTGCCAATCAACACTGTAAACCCAATCATCATGGCCCATAAGCAAAGCCTCGAACATTATGCTATAACGTTGTCTTCTATTGTAATTAAGATGATATCAGTATAACAATATGCTTCCGGTACACCGAACATTAAAGGACGTCCTCAATTGATTTTCAATTTATGAACCTCTTGGTCTCATCTTCCTGTCTAGACACTTCAACTTCGATAATATGAGCACGGGTACTTAGCTGTACCTTATCATCTGATCTACGGAACAATAACTGTGTTAAAAAATTTCACCATTTTCACATTATGCAACGTAAATGTGTAAAGATACTTTACATGGTGCTTCCCCGTAAAGCAGAAATAATGTCGTCTGTCAACATCCCACTATCGTTTTCCTTTACATAATCGCCACCCTTCTCTGTCGTCCCTTTATCCTCGTCGTTCATTTCCTCACCAATACGGGCAATCTTCCATAGCCTCACATATTTATCCTGCGATGCGCTGGCGAGCAGGAGATCACCGTCGTGTATAGCATACGCATTCTTTGGTGATTCATTAGACACCGAAATAGAAGACGCGGCGGATGCAAAAGAGAGAGATCGGATCCAGTTTTCATGCCCTTGAAGTGAAATCGACTCTACAAACTGGCCATTAATTGAGGAAGTAAGCGGATGACGGAGATACAAAATGATAAACCAGATAGTTTAGCCCTTATCAAATACTGTGTTTGCACCTTCCCGTCAATCGTGATATACAATACAACGCGTCTTTCTGTGCCTCCAGCCGCTAAAATGGGAACTGGAGATAATCCCAACGTTAAATATGATGAACAACCCACAAATCAGTTTGTGATATGTATCTACCTTGAGTATTAGGTAAATAAGTAATCGCCAACGCCAGAGGATACTTGGTTCCACAGTCGATTGTTTGTAAGCATTCAACCTTATCTACAGAATCGCAATTTATAAATGAACAGGCTGAATTGGCCGTACGTCTCACGCAATAGAACCCAAATATGAATTCGATGTCAATACGCTCATCACCAATAAACATCGCTCGTACAAACCTTCTGTTTCATTTTCGATCGTTCGTTCCCATATCTTAATAGTACCATCAGCAGATCCGGTAGCCACAATATCGCGTTCAGTCAGTATGGATCGGGCACGAACGACACCAAGTGTGTTTATCGAACCGGAATGTCCTAGTAATACGGCCGAACTAACATACTAAAAATGACAATAAATAAAATCTTTATTTTTGTAATCTCGCCGGTGAAGGGAAAAAAAAAAGACACTAAAATATAATCGTGAGGATAAATCTTCAAGAAAAAGCAGATTACCTTCCCGGCAGAAGTTTTTTTCCATATTCGCGCGGTTCTATCTGCAGATCCGGAGACTATTGCAACGTTTGTTTGTTCTTTTTCGTCACCTATATTACGATTAAATAATTGCAATTCATGGATTATACGTAATATTCGTTGTTAGTAACAGTAACTATTGTCCTACCTCTATTAATGAAATCAACACAATTGACACATGCAGTATGTCCACCTAACGTTACCACGACGCCTCTCGCTTCTGGATTCTAATTGATTAACATGATATAATTCAGAATATTCGAGCAAACTAATCATTCCGCAATAGTTTTACTCACCGTGGGATAGTACAATGCAACAAAATTGTTCGCGCCAAATGCCACCAACCCATTCTTTGCCCACGCTGCTACTTGGGCTACTTTGTTACAGCCAATACCAATAAATTCTGTTGTTATTTTTATTTTTTGTGACATTATGAATAAGAATATATATAATGCACAATATTGATTCAAAGCTGTAACAACTCCTTTGTGAAGAGCGATCACATCAACTATTTAAATTGTGTATGACTCCTTTTCAATTATTTGGAGAACAATGCAAAATGCATTGATCCTTTGTGGAAAATTTTGAAGCGCCAATCGTTTCAATGTCGTGTCACGTCGATACATAGCATTCAGTCTAGTTATGTAAATAATCTGCATGAAGGCAAGTATAAAACCGACCCGTCTAACACTTTAATCGTTAAATTCAATAAAAAGAAAAAGAAAGAGAAAGAAAAGCATGGAGGGAACAGCAAAAATAATCGACACATCGTTCACAATTCTATCGGCTGCGGGTTCAGTCTCTCGCGGTGCTGCCAATGTTGTCGAATGCATTGCTCCGTTCGTTCCTCTAATCAACACAGTGACTGGTGTGGTGCAAGATATCATAAGCATGTATCAAGAGGCAGAACATAATAAGCGTATTTGCAGTGCGTTATTCGATCGAGCTGCATTAGCAGAGGCTGCAGTCAGGAGTCTTCAATTGAAAGCAAGAGATTATGAAACGGAATTGCAGTCACCGGAATTTTACCAGAATTTTAAGAAATTCGTGGAAACTATAAAGAAGATTAGGGATTTTGTTAAAGACATTTATCAACTTTCAGGTTTGTATCTGGTATTGCAAATTGAATTGAAGGCTTACGAACTGTTTAATGAAAGAGTCTGGAATGGTGTAAAAAAAAAAAACGTCGATTATTGATCATTCTCGAAAACAGGATTGAAAAAGTTTTTGATGTCTCACGATATTGCGGGCCGATTTAATGAATTAAGCCAAGAGTTCGATGGCCAAATAAGAGTCTTGAACTTTGCATTGGCTGTTCAAACACAAAAAGAGACTGAAGCCATTGCGGCAGACATGAAAGAACTCAAAGTCGTACGTGTTATTTCGATTATCTTCACATCTCAGCGCGATTCTCGAAATTATACATCTTCTTACTTTTTCGCTTTCAATTACAGTTTATGGAAAACATTCACGCAGGCATCACCACCCAAGCAGGAAATAAATTCAACCCTGACCTAGAAACCATTGAAGACATGAGCAAAGCACATCTGAGTTCGCACTACAACTCGGATGAACTATTCGGGACGGTCATGATTCCTCCTTCATTGATTAAAGAACCAGACGAAGGTGATAGAGTGCAAATAGACAAAGTACAAAAGGCATATTATACTCCTCCAGAAACAGGTATACCAGTAGAAGTTGCGTTGAAATCTCAGGCTATTGGAACGGGCGACGAAACTAGAAGTAAAGAATTGATCAGTCAAGTGATTATTTACAAGAGATTTAAATTAAATGAGAACATAATCAAGTTCTATGGACTGGTCTCATTGGATAATGGGCTTCATCTCGTGACAGAATGGGCGGACCTTGGAACATTAAAAGAAGCATACACGGCTGATCCTGATGCTTTTACTTGGAATATAAAGACATCTATTGCTATTGATGTCCTGAGAGCATTAACGTTCTTGCACTCTATTTCCATTTATCATCATGACATTCGGTCCGCAAATGTATTGATTACCGATAGATATGCAGCTAAAATCCAAAATTTCAGTTACGGGTATGTATCAATAATCTGTCGGCAAGCTAGGCAAATTAACCGACAAGTATTCAACTGGGCAGGAAGGCTGGTAGTTACTTAACTCACCTTTATAATTTTGTAGTCGTACGTTTTATGGTCCGACTTCATCAATGGAGAACACACTAGAAAAAGCGCGGTATATGGCCCCCGAGAAAATAAACAACCCAAGACTCAGTTACAACATGAAATGCGAGATATACAGGTGGGTAGATACCATTACCGTTTGCATAACAATCAACCTATGTTAACCACCTTGTTTCTAGTTTTGGCATGCTTCTTTGGGAAATCGCTCAACTTAAAGAGCCTTATCATGAAATCACTGATTTTCTTCAAGTAAGCGAAATCGTCGCCAATAACACGGGCAAGGTTGTGTTCGGAGAGACTGTTCCACCTGAATGGAAGAAGGCCACTCTCGCAGGTTTTTGTCTAGAATACCTGAAATTTCGGCACTTGAAATTCGCTCATTCGCTCATCTGTATCTCCTTTTCCTTCGCCAGCTACAAGCTTTTCTCCAGGAATGCGTCCTCGTTTGAGTGAACTTTTCACAACTTTCTTCAACTTAGCAAAGAAGCTCAAGCCAACAGCTTCTCCACGGCTTTCCTCACAATCCTCACACAGAAACTCCTCGACGGGAAGTGAACTTTTTGTAACGAACACTATAGCTGACCCAATAGCCTGTATAGATGATGATTTCGAATTAGACGGATTGGCTAAAATTGCACAAGTGATGTCTATCGAAGATGCTATTAAACAACACAAAATAACAGGAGGAGACCGAGCAAAGGCGTTCGAAGCGTTTAAGGTGCATGCTGAATGGGAAGATATGACAGCAAAGTACTATTACGGTTACTATCTACATTACAATCTTGTTCCAACACCAGATGAGACTGGTGAACAAAAAGAAGCAAGACTGAAAAAGGCCGCAGAATTGTTCAAAAAGACTGCCGATAACGGAATGGCTGATGCTCAATTAATATACGGACATTGTTTGTGGAATTGTACTGGAGTTAAGGGAAATAAATTAGAGGCAGTTAAGTATTTTGAGTTAGCCGCTGAACAAAAGAATATCACTGCCATGTACAATATTGGTAAGCTTTATTATCAAGGATCGCTCCCTGGTAGAGGCGATAAGGCGAAAGGAGAGCAGTATTTGAAATCTGCTGCGCTCAATGGTCATGATAAGGCCAAAGACTTTTGTGCAAAAAATAATATATTAATTACTTTTGCGGACAATTAGTAGCTGTATGTAGGTTTAACAAAAGTTTCATTATCGTGTATTTTACTAATTATTTATTCTCACTATAAAAATGGTTTGGGTTTCTTTAAACTTAATAATGTTGACCCTTGAGAGATCTATTAAAAGACAGTGGTCTACTACTACCAATAACTCTCCAGTAGCTTATGAAAGGAGTCAGATTGTTTATCGGAAATGTCTTGATAGAACATGACTGCCCTTTCCAACCGTTCAGTTAATGGTGATTGTGAACATTGCTATCCAACCCAGCTTGAAAATTTCTTACTATTACGTATAGTGGTTATTTCTCCTGTCAAACTGTATAACAGACCATGATATCGGCCATAATAATAAGAATTCAGAAATTCATATCTCAAATGACACTGCCACATTTTTCAGTTTGATCTATTATCGGAGATACAGACAAGCAATTGGGCTCATCATTGATAAACTCGAAGCATCATATATTAAGAAGATGAAGCTGGGGAATAGCTGTGTTGGGAGATAATATCTCACGGGTTGATGGTGTAAAGATTCTAACGAAACTTTGTATCCCTTAGACTGTTTTCCGTTCAAATTTGAACGGAATTTCGATTCACTGACAAAATCGCCTTATATCTCCTCTATGACTGAATATTAATTTTAAAAAAGAGACTAGAAGATGTCGAAATTCAGCAATTTCTAATCTTAATTGCTGAACTTCTAAACGAGTTTTATTGCGTTTTTGGTAAACCTTCTCTTGGATCGGGCTACCATAATTCCAACAGCAACTTCTTCATTGACACCCGATAAGGCGCCTTCAAAGCGCTGTACATCTTTATATGCAACCCATCTCCCCCTATAGTATAAATAAGGATTTAATCTCTGAAATAGAAATATAATTGAAATAAATGGCGATAGTAATAGTTACCTTGCACTGGATTGCTATAAAAAGTTTTCTGAACCACCCGCTCAAGTCAACACCGCCGTCACCTGGTTCGTGCCTATAGATATAAAATGTGAGTAACTGCATCATCATAGTTATTAACCATTTGAAGAACGTTCGCAGCAGGCCGTCCACCATACGCCAGGACTGGGTACCTGACTGGCGACTTTCACAAGCTGCGGCCACGAAGCGCTTTCAATTCAAATGGTTAGTGTATCCTATTCATCACAGACCCGGTATCGTTCCAGACGGTTTTTCGGCAACGGAGAAATCGAACGTTCACAAACAAGCAGTCACTGTATCAAGAACTAAGTAATGTTTGAAGATACACTATTCTCCACGCACCCGGTATCGTTCCAGACGGCTATTCGGTATGGAGTCTACTAGGTCTCTGTAATTAGATAATCACCAAATGCTTACTGAAACCCAATCTTTCTCAATAATTAGACGCGTCTTGTTGTTTTTAACTTTTATTAATACGTGATTGTTTACTAACAAGTTGAATAAAAAATTTTATATAAAGCAACTGAACGCGATGCATTATTATTCAGTTATCTGGCACTGAAATTTGTACTCCTTGTTTGATAAGACTGCTACTAAATTTAATATGACTCCAAAAAGAAAAGAATTAAGTTGCTTCCAACGTGGACAGATTATTGGTGCTTGGAAGATGGGTACAAGTGTGAGAAAGATTGCACAGATGCTTGATCACCCTTACTCAATGGTTCAAAAAGTAATAAAACTTATAAAGATTATGGATATGCTAAACCTCCTCCTCGAAAAGGAAGACCAAAGTATTGACAGAACGAAATAAACGTGCATTATTAAGAGTTGTTAAGAAGGATAGAAAAGCTATTCTTACAGGTAAAATTCTCTATTACAATTACAGCATCTCATACTGTCAACTCATTACTAACATTTATTATCATATTAACTTTAATTCCATACCAAGAAATTAAAAATAATTTAACAGATTCAATTTCAAGAGTTGTTTCTGGAAAAACTGTTCGAAGAGGACTCCATGAATCTGGTTACTTTGTTGAGTGGGTGCTAGAAAGCCTTATGTGAGTGAAAGAAATAGAAAAAGAAGATTGAGTTGGGCAAAGGAGAGAAACAACTGGAAGAGTGAATGGGAAAAAGTTATGTGGAGTGATGAATCATACTTTCACTGATTTAATATTAATGGAGATGGACAAAGATGGGTGTGGAGGCAGCCAATGGAAAGATTTAATAATAAGGCTGATTGCCTTATTCCAACCCAGAAATCAAAACAAGATGGAATAATGGTATGGGGTTGCTTTCATAAAAATGGACTTGGGCCATTAGTTTGATTAGATGGAAAAGTCAGTTCAAGAGATTACATTAATCTCTTGCAAGGTAGACTTTTGCCATATATGGATACACTTGAGGATAAAGAAAATTTTATTTTTCAAGAAGACAATGCTCCTATTCATAAATCAAGATTGAGTACTGAATGGAAGGCCAGTAATACTGCAATAGCCAAAAGCAAAATGCTTGTCGTATACAGTTGCACCTGTCTATTTACATACTGTTGGGACTGATGGATTTTTATGCAAATAGACAGAGTATGCGAATATACATCATTACATGATTGTTGATACTGCTAAATAATTTGATACTCAAATTTTATTTCATGATAAAGAACACTATCATCACAATTATCAGAGGAAGAGGCAGGAAGATTGCAATTTAGATGCCCTTATCCTTCATGTGAAGAGACATTTGAAAGCATTTACCTTACAATTGAACATGCTGCACATCATTGATTTGCTTGGTGAGTGTTTATGTTGATAACAAAATCTTATTATCAGTAAGAAATATTGGTAGAGGCTGTTTTCCCTCCCCTCTCACACAAACATGTTCTGAGATTAGTTAACTTTCAACTTAAGCATAAAGTATCCCATTGCATTAAAGTTGTTTATAACAAATGAGTAAATCTAGGAATAAAGCTTATTAAAGAGAAGAAACCATTATCAATGCTTGTTTTAGATAAAACCTCCCTTTGACTCGATATC